GTCCAAAACACACTGCAGAATTAATCCAGTTTGAGACCGCTTTAACCGTCCAGTCTCAATGCTAGGGAATTCTGGAAAGTAGTTTTGTGAGACATTTAGCCTTCTCTATCAGAGAGCTCTGGTGCCACAATAAACTACAGTTCCCAGGATTCCCTACCACTGAGCCAAGGCAATTAAAGTGGTCTCAAACTGGATGATTTCTGCAGTGTGTTGTGAACCAGAGTCGCAGTCAAACCATTATGCCACGCTGGCTCTCAGAAAGCACTTTCTGAGCATAAGCATTGAAACAACGCCTTTCTCCACAGAATTAATTAGGCTTGCCAGAGACAAAAAGCTCGTCTTATGCTGTCCCACTCCTATGATGGAAGTCTGTCAGCTATAACTAACAAGGATTTGTGTCTGCCAAGAAGGCGTGGGATGTAGTGTAACAATTACCTCAGGCTTAAGCCAACCTACATGGGGAATGGAAAACAAAATGGAGTATGAGTTCCCTCTACCAATCAAAAATCTCCTCAGGCAGACATCTTATTTCACTGCAAGAGGGAACTCTGCACCATCCAGGCCAAGAAGCGAGCCTCAGGTTATTTTTCACCCAATCAGGGCAGAAGCCTGAGAAGCCCCAGCCAATTAAAATACAGTATAGGCCGAAGGGAAAACAAGCCACCAATCAGGGAGGACTGGGAGACCTTGTTGCCAACTGACTTGGGACCTTTTTCCTTTCTGCCTATGAAGGAGATCTGTGAGGAGAACAGTTGAAGAGCTTGGAAAGTTACATTTTAGATTACCACTCCCAAAACCTTCCAGCCAATATGGGGCGATGTAGTCTAAAAAGTAACTTTCTTGAGAGCAGCATAACTGACATATCACCGTGGCATCTGGAAATCACACAAATCCAGCCCTCTGACCCAAAAAACGGGGGATATGACCAATGGAAAGCTCAAAACACTGATATAAATGCATGCTTCTTGGTCTCCCTCAAAATGGAGGACATTTTGGAATTCCTCCTTGACAGAAGGCTGAAGTGTAGGGCATGTCCTGGAAAAGGAGGACATCTGGTCTCCCTGCTCTGACCTAATTGATAAATTGTTTGTAGTTTTGCACACTTGCCAAGAAAACACTGGGATAGGGTCACATAAGTTGGACTTGGAGGCACACCGCAACAATGGTTCAATACACACTGTAGAAATAATCCAGTTTGAGACTGCTTTAACTGCCCTGGCTCAGTGCTGGGGAATGCTGGAAGTTGTAGTTTATTGTGGCACCAGAGCTCTCTGACAGAGAAGGCTCAATGTCTCCCAAAACTACAGTTCCCAGAATTACCTAGCATTGAGCCAGGGCAGTTAAAAGTGGTCTCAAACTGGATTGTTTCTGCAGTGTTTTGGACCAAAAAGTCTCACACAGAGAAAGTACAGAATTAGGGTTGCTAGATCTCAAGGGCTGGGCCTTTGCCTCCAATTGTCAAAGTGAGGGGAAGGAATCTCAGAGTAAGAGTTTGTCTTGAAAGGCTTGTGTGCAATTACCTGTTGTCTTCATTCGCTAGACTTATTTTAACAGGATCCTTTCTGCAACTGCTGTTGATGCTCAGTGTGTGACGGCACCTTTATGGCAACACCAGTGGCTCATTTGCACAACACAGTTATAGCACTATGGTTCCACTTTAAGTGCCACCGCTGCATCCTGTGGGATCTCCAGGTTTGTAAGTTTGGTGAGAAACTAGATATCCCTAAAGATTCTAAATATCCCTCCCTAAACTTCCAGTCCAAGATTTTCCATACAATGGAATCATGACATTTAAAGTAGAAATCATAGCATTATAAATGTGAGACAACATGGCGTAGTGGTTTGAGTGTTGAACTAGGATTCTGGAGACCAGGGTTTAAATCTCGACTCAGCCATGTAAACCCTACTGGGTGACCTTGGGCAAGTCACACACTCTCAGCCTCAGGGCAAGGCAATGGCAAACCTCCTCTAATAAAATCTTGCCAAGAAACCCCCATGCTAGGTTCACCTTAGGGTTGCCATAAGTCGGAAATGACTTGAAGGCACACAACAACAACAAAACAACAACAACAACAGGGTGCATGGATCCATGGAGCTGCCCCTTGTAGCATCACCAGGACCTGCTTTCTGGGATATTACATGAGGTCATCTTTTAATTGTGGTCCTAAAATCTCAGAGTCTGGCAACCCTATACAAAATACAAGGGGGTCAGGAAATGTAAAATCTTATTCAAAAATCAAAAACTTACCATACACCAAAACCCACTATATCTTCTACAGCTATACTCCATTTTATTTAAAACAAACAAACAAACAAAGATATGGTTGGCCCTCTGTTTCCACAGATTCAGTCATCCACAGCTTGAAAATATTATATATTCCAAAAAGCAAAGCTTGATTTTGCCTTTTATATAAGGGACACCATTTTACTATACCATTGTATTTAATGGGACTTCAGTATCCACAGAATTTGATATCCGTGAGGGATCCTGGAACCAAAACCCAACAGATACCAAGGGACCACTGTATATCGCTAATTAAACTTCTTGGAAGGACTTTGAAATAATGATCAGAGAGGAGCAGTTCAATTCTGTATAACTCCCTCTCTCTTTGTATGCGTCTCTCCACTTGTCTCTATCTTTCAGGACTCTCCCTGGCTTTTAGGAAGCATAGGATAGCATCCCAAGACTGGGTTTGGACAGGATCAATAGAGCTGGTTAAGACGGCTGAGGATTGCATTACTAGCCCTGGAAGATACCCCTGCTTTTTAGGGAACTTACATGTAAATAACCTACAATGGCCACATCCAACATAACCAGAATTCCTGGGTAGTATGACCTAGTTACCACTTCAGCAGCTAAACAAACAGGAATTGTTTTTAATGTATTTTTACCTTGACAACCAGCCTTTTCTCCATTGAGCTCAAGCCAGCTTGCATGGGTTCCCTTTTCCTCACTTCAGCCTCACAAAAGTCCTGTAATGGAGGTGTATGAGTAAGGTCACCTAGTAAGTTTCATGACTCAGAACCTAGATCCTAAAGTGCCAGTGTGTCGCCCTATTGGCTGGGAAAGCTATGCCTAGTATTTGCATCTCCAGTTGTTCAGTTTAAGAAGATCCAAACTGGCTCCTTTTTTGCACTAAACAGCAACTTGTAAAGTAACTTTGCAACCAACCTGAAAGCTGATTTTGCGACCAGCAGTTCACTGCCCTTCACAGAGGACATGAGTGGTAAAGCATGCATGATTGGGATCAACCTTTTGCTTTATGGTCCCATTCACCCTACAAAAATAATCCAGGATGATTCTTGGTTGAATCCTTGTTGTTCACATATGTCCGGAATGCACTCAATGCACTTTTAGGGGAGGCTGGCAAAAAACTCACTTAACCCAGGATATTTGATACCAGGTTTCCCCACACACCCCCCTTGGGTTTTCCTGAAAGATCCACATCAATCCACATCTTCGGCAGTGTGAACATGCTTCCGAATTGATTTGGATCGCTCTGTATCATTCAAGGGAATGGAGGCGGCTCCCTTTTATCCTAAAACAATGGCATGTGTAAATAACAAAATGAAGAGATTTGTGAACCTAAAACAAACTGGGAACAACAAACCCGATATGCATCAGCATAGCAATCCACAGAATAAAAAAATGAGTGGCTGGGTGGCTGGCTGATTGGTTTTCTAGATCTGACGTCTCTGTGAATCCCCCCTTCCTTTTTCCCATCTCCTTTTGCAGGAAAGAGTATACAGGAGTATACATACATAAGCAAATGAGATCCTAAATGCCTCTGTAGAAAGAGGAGAGAGCAGTGGAATGATTTTTCTGCACTGTTGTGGTCTGCCCCCCTGGTTTGCATTTTTCTTTTCCTTTTGTAGGGGAGAAACCCCTTTTCCCCATCTCCTTTCCAGAGAGAGTGAAGGAAGGTGATCACAACCGACTCCCTCAAAAGAAAGGGATAGGGCAACTGGGATCTTCTTTCTTCTCTGCTTTCTCTTTACTTTGTAAGGCAGAAACTTCTGTAAATGCCATTCTCCTCATTTCCTTTTAGAGCAGGGGTAGGCAACCTTTCCCCTTTAAGGGCCGAGAGACTTCAGCTCCCAGAATCCCAGGAGCTATTGGCCAACATGGGACTATTGGCCAACATGGCTGAGGCTTCTGGGAGCTGAAGTCCCTCGGCTCTTAAAGGGGAAAGGTTGCCTACCCCTGTTTTAGAGAGAGAGAGAGAGAGAGAGAGAGAGAGAGGTGTGTCACCTGGCCATATGTCCCAGTTTTCATCTGCGAAATGGTGGAGGGAATTTCGCATTCTAACCAATATACATTAGCCCCTCCCAATTTGCAGGGGATCTATTCCGGACCCTCCCCCCCGCAAAAATGGAAAATCAGCAATATTCGAGCCCCATTGGAAAAAATGGCAAGCGTGCCCATGGTGCATGTGCAGGACCATGTGCCACCATTTTGTCCCTCCCTGCTTGCCGTCCTGTGAAGAGCAAGACCGTGGACTCCAAATCCGCAAACGAGGAGAAACTACTGTAAACTTCTTACTATGTTCAGGCTGTATCCTTGACCCATTATTTCCTCAGCAAACCAGGAACAGGAAACCAACTTCAAACTTTGGCTTCACTCTCTAGTTGTTGTTCTTGTGTGCCTTCAAGTCATTTCCGACTTATAGTGACCCTATTGTGGAGTTTTCCTGGCATGATTTGTTCAGATGGGTTTATCATTGCCTTCCCCTGAAGCTGGGAGTATGTGATTTGCCCAAGATCACCCAATGGATTTCATGGCGGAGCTGGGAATCGAACCCTGGTCTCCAGGGTCATAGCCCAACACTAAAACCACTACACCACTCTGGCATTCTCTAGTTAGGAGAACACTAACCATGACTGCAGAGTTTAATATTAGTCACAGGAATGTGTTAGGAAGTGTTTGCTTCTCCATTTATTTCAAACTAGTGCCCTCACTAATGGGAGAAGCCAAGCAAGGCTGATGGGATGATGCGAATGAATGCAGTGCTTGCAGATAATAAGTCACCATCCCAACCATTCTGGCTCATCATTCTGTCCAAACACAGTCTATTTCTGTTCTTCTGGAAGGTGGGAGCCATTTTGTGGGAAATGTCTCTTCAACCACACCTCTCAGCGTCTGGTGGGAATGAAATACAGTAATCCAGCTGTGGTTGTGTGAGGAGAGCCTGCATTGTGAAAGACATGGACAAATTGTTGAATTTAAACTCTGTAAGCATCTTAGGTCCTGGTTGTCTCCCTAGCTTTCTGATGTGGAAGCAAGGGACCTATGCAAAACATCCAATTAGAGATGCAGAGAATCAGTCATGAAAACATTACTTCTGTGCAAATGAATGTTAAGTGGTTCGAAATACACTGGCGTCAGAGACATCAATACACTTGTCAAAGATTTTAATTTTAAAAAATTAAATGAATCATACACATGCAAAGTATCAGCTTCCTAATTTAAATGAGTCATGGAAGATTGTGTTTTGTTTAGAAATCATAAAAGGGCACATAAGCATATAAAAAAGCTACACATTATGCACAAATGTGCTTCAGAAAATACTCAAAGTTGTGTCTCTTGGGGCAAGCAACTTTTAAAAGAAAAACAAGGTTGGGAGTAGATGAAATGGCAATGGGCGAGGTGCTTAACCCTTTTCCCTACTTCATTTGGGACCTGCCCAGGGATCCAGATAGGTGCTTGCTCTTGCATTCAGGATCACAAGCAGCTGGTAAGAAGGACGAGGAGTTACAATGAAAAGATTAGATGTGGGGAAGATCAAGCATGCTCTCTACCTTGTGTTTAGTAAAAAAAAGGTAAAGGTATTTCCTGTTGACAAGGTTGTCAAGTCATATCTAACCATAGAAG